TGTTTATGGTCCCATTTTTTCATATTCAGTTCTTGGGTTATTGTTTTTGGTCCTAAAAAACTTGAAACTTTCTTTTTAGAAGCTCTCTTGCTAATTAGAAATACAAATGGAGAAGCAACTATAACTTAATTTTATAATATTTGTTGGTGATTTTGATTGGAGACTGAAGTAATATCTAGAAAATAACAGTGACATTTTGGGAAAAAGGCTTCTAGTGGAGCCAAAGAGTTTTTGTTTTCACTTCATAAATAAGAAACGTCATATGAAAATAACCTAGCAATTTGTTTGGTGAATTAAAGTGTTAAATATGGTGGTTTGTATAGCTACCATCGTGATTTTTTTTAGCTTTTAATTTTAAGAATACTTTTTTTTTGTTTGTTTTATTACTTTTTTTTTTTTTTAATTTATTTATTTATTTGTTTGTTTTTGTTTATACATGCACTGGGTACAGTCAGAAGCGCGGGAGGGTGAGAGAATTCACCAGAGCCAGAGCGGGGAGCAGAGCAGGCAGAAGGACCGAAGTACACTGCAGAGGGGAGCAGCGGGCGGCAGGAGAGGTCTGCACGCCATGTGGGATTCTCCTCCGGTGGCCGGAGAGCAGCCGGGGATCGAACCGGCGCTGCAGAGGCCGCGGGCAGCTTCGCAACCCAGCGCTCAACCGCTGCGCCACCGGGGATGCCCTAATTTTAAGAATACTTTTTAGAGTAGAAATGGAAACTGCCCTATGTTACCTCTCAGTTTTGTCTTTATTTAAAGTATAAATACTTAGAATGGACTTTGTTTCTATTTTGTGAAGAGACATCTCATATATTACAGATTTCTTTGTGATAACTATATTTTATGATATATTGTATACAAATGTTGGGAATTTAGGTACTCATGTATACTTTTAAATATCTGTTTTCAAAATTTCAGCTTGCTAGTTATGCCATTTCATGATATAAACGTAACTAAGAAATCTGTGAAGGTATAAAGTAAATCTCAGGAATTCATTAAAACTTTCTAACAAGAATCTACCTATATTTATGATTATTAAACTATGGTGTGCTGCAGTCTGAAATTCCATTTCCAACATATTAAAGAAATTTCTTTGGTTCATCATTAAACAAACATGTTTTGAGGGTTATACATGTAATGAAATATTTATAGTATTCAAGATTGGATAAATGAGATATAGCACCTCCACTCAGAGTCAGCCTTCATGGGAAGATGAATAATTTTTAAACAGTCAAAATATAGTTACAGAGATGGTAAATGAGAATTTATCCTGGATTTGTTGGCCTTGATAAGAGCAGTTTAATGGCGTTACAGGTAAAATTTTTATTGGGAAATTATGCTGAGATAAGAGATTTTGGAAACTGTCCATTCTAGGAGTATTGCTATACAGGGGTGGGTAGCTAGAGGAAGCATAGGATGCCAAGACTTTTGAGAAGACAATAGTATGTTTATTTAGAAATGGAAATAGTGGAATAGAGAAGGAAAAACTGATGATAAAGAGAAAACTGCTGGAAAGAATGTCATAAATAGAAGGTGAGGGAATGGAACCCAATAAAGACATTTTGCAGTTAGCTTTTCCCTGGAGCTTTGGCACTTCATTCAAAATTACACATTAGGAGATAATGTAAATGGAGACAGAAGGTGGGCATTCTGGAAGTTACTGTTTTCTCAGCAAAATAGGAAATGTCATTAGCTAAGCGTTAGGATGGTAAAAAACCTTGCCAGGTTGTATGAAATAGGTGAAAGAATTTAAAGGAAAGTGTGAGAGTGAATGGACAAAGAAAATATGATTTAATGATCATGAAATAAGTTAGCAAATTGTGTGTTTTTCTTGTTCATTGTGAAGGGTCAGGATCAACTGATTTTAAGTTCTTCAGTGTTGAGTAATTTTTGATTTGGAGTACTTGAGAGGAATGTGAAATGACTAGAAAATAGTTTCACTTAATTAAGCTTAAAATTAAAATTTTGGAAGAGAATGATCATGACAGTGAATTACTGAGAGTGGAAGATGAGATCATTGAACAAAAATGGAGTCAAAGAGCTGAAATTACAAAGTATTGGAAGAATCATCTTTTGTATATTGAAGTGACCAAAATTTTAACAAGAAATTTCTCTGGATAGCTTGCAAAAATGAACACAAGTTAGTAAGTGTAGAGAGTCCTCAAAGGACTAAAAATGTGTTTACTATATGACCCAGCAATTCCACTCCTACGTATCTGTTCAAAGAGCACCAAAATACCAATTCAAAAGGAATTGGTATGTTACTGCATTCCTATGTTATAGGAGCACTATTTACAATAACCAAGCTATGGAAACAACCTAAATGTCCCAGAACAGATAAATGGATCAAGAGAAACCAAACAGAGGATCAGACAAAGGCAAATTATAAGACTAACCATTGAAAGCAAATCATAGAAATGAGACATTCTGGAGGGGAGAGGAAGGAAGAAAGGGAAGTAAAGAATCAGGTGTGGAGGAAGTGGTCCTTTGGTGATAGGAATACTACAGTGACCGAATCTGAAGGGAGAAATCCTATATTACGAAAAAATAAGGATGTTTAAAATTTTTTTTAAGAAGTTGAAATCTTCAGGGCCTCCCCGGTGGCGCAGCGGTTGAGCACTGGTTGCAAAGCTGCCCGCAGCCTCGGCAGCACCGGTTCGATCCCCAGCTGCTCCCCGGCCACCAGAGGAGGGTCCCACATGGCACGCAGACCTCTCCTGCCGCCCGCTGCTCCCCTCAGCAGTGTACTTCAGTCCTTCTGCCTGCTCTGCTCCCCGCTCTGGCTCTGGTGAATTCTCTCACCCTCCCGTGCTTCTGACTGTACCCAGTGCTTGTATAAATAAATAAATAAATAAATAAATAAATAAATATTAAAAAAAAAGAAGTTGAAATCTTCAAAGATCAGTCTGAAAAGGAAAAAAAAAAAACAAATCTGAGGTGCAAGAACAGAAATCAAAGACAGGTACACAATCATTTTAAATATATCTAGAAATTAAATGTGATTTTTTGAGGCCTTTGGTTAAGTGAACATTTACCACATAAAAAGTACAAATGATAAAATGATAAATTTTACACTTCTGCAAAATTGAAAGAGAAAGTTCTTTAAAAGATTCTCAAAATATAAGCCACAAACTAGAATAGATTTGCAAAATAACTAGTAAAAAAACCCTTGTGTTCATTTTATTTAAAAATATTTTAACCACCCAATGAGAGAATACATAACAATGATAACACAGGTAAAGTACTTGAACAAACACATAACCAAAGATGATTTACATTCTCATATTTAAAAAAAAAATTATGACAACTAAGCACAAAAGCAAATGCTCATCATTATGAGGGAAATGCAAATTAAAACTACAGGAGTAACTAAAATACCTAAAATGAAAACACAAATTATAACACTCTCCTAAATGAGAAGGTTCATTCACCTGGTGGTTGAAAGCCAATGATCCAACAAGCAGGTTCTGGAAGGCAAAACAAGATCTTCTGTTGTAAGACCTGGCAATAGAGGGGAAATTCCTGTTTCAGAAGCACCTTTGTCCTAGAGCTTGAGGTGAGGTGAGGTGATAAGGCTTTGGGGAGGGTGTTTTCTATGTTCTTCATGTTCCATGTGCATAATAAGTCTTGCATGCACTTTGCTATTACATGCCTGTACATAGGCACATGTTTCATTATAGTCTTAAGTCTTTACCCCTAGGCATAATTTTTGGTTAAAATTTTAGTGAAGCAAAGATCACCACTGGGTTACTACAGTCACTCTCCAAGAGAGCTACTTTGGGGCATCATATATTATATATCATGTATATCTCATGTATCTCATGGTTCCAGCTGTTTTAGTTATCAGCATCCCCCGTTCTGAAATTAATTCCTCTTTCTCTCAGTTTATTTGTTGATAAAGTGAGAATAACACTAGTACCTACCTTGGAATTAGAATGTATTCAATATATTTATAACTCATATTAAGCATTTCATCAATTATAGCTATTATTTGCCATTGTGTGGTTAGATGGTGGCAAGGTAGCCCAGAACCTAGTTCTTTTGATTTTGAGTTCCTCTTTCAACTACCTTTATTTATTCATTAATTTTGTCACTTAATATACCTGTATTAAATTCCTATTGTGCATCATTCTGTTAGGTTTAGTTCTAATATTTTCCTCCTTTTAGACTTTTCCAGTAGTAACAGATTATACCTTACTTTTATGTTTTCCTTACTAGCTATAAAATGGCAGAAAAGTCCTGTAAAATCCAAGGTTATATAAATTTTTGTATTTTTCCAAATTTTGTCATGTTTTCTTCCTGTTTAGAAAATTGAATTTTTTTATACTCCCTGTTTAGTTATGTATACCAGATCAATGTAAATGGATTACCAATGTATTTTTGAATTGTTTTATATTTTACAGTGATAAATTGATGTATATTTTTGGTTGCAAAAAATAATAATACATACATACTAACATACTTACAGTTTTTTTCCCAACAAAATATTAGGACAGTTATTAAAGTAGGTGTCAGTGTATTTACTTATGAGTTTAAATAGGGTCAGGGCAGTTAGCCTCACATAAACTCTAAATTTTCAGCTCTAGCAATGTTTTAGCTTTTAAAATCAGTTAACTTCGTTGGCACATTTTTCACCTCATATTCTATTGGCACTAGGCCACCATGAAATGCTAAGCACCATGGAAATAATTGGACTGTCATGTTTTCTAATAGAGTGCATTTGAGATACATTGAGAAAGACAGTTTTTAAAATGTTGGCTGCTAAAGTTTGATCATCTAATCCAGGATTTAAGCATTGATCTGCTGTCATCATCATATGTGTCAGCTGTTCTTAATTGAATAATGTATATATTTAGTCTTTTTCTAAAATGCTATACTCCATGTTTTTGAGTATCTCAAATATAATTCCCTTATCAATTATAATTTATAATTATAGTTTCATCAGAAATCATTAGATAATGGAAACCAAATGCTTTTTTTTTTTTTGGTCAAATAATCTCCATATTATGTATTTAACTTTCTAAAATTTCCTTTTAATTTTCCTCAGAAGAAATTTTCAGATTAATATTTTGTTACAATCATGAAGTTATATTGGTCCAAAAAAAAGTATTCAATAGAATGGGTGATAAAGCAGGTACTAATGTTCACCTAAAAGTTTCTTTTTTCTGGGCTAGGTATATGAAAGGCATTTAATCAGCTTGAATTTGTGAAGAGCAAAACATTCCTATCATCTTGCATTGGACTATGAACTGAGGAAGAAATCAAGTTTGTGTTGGTTCGTTATTGTAGCTAGCATTAAATACCTTGTCACCTTCCTACTTTCCCTATTTCTGCCTCCCATTTCTAAGTAATTTCTAAGTAATTGTTGCCCTAGGTAGGCATGTTCTTAATTCCATAATGTTTTATTAAATTTCATATTAAGACCTAAGTGTATTGTTTAGCACAAATGAAATTGAGAAAGTTTCATATACCGTTCATTAATATTTTTGCCAATTGGTAAAAAGTTTGGTGGACATAATATATATCACTTGAGTAGTAGGTTAAAGTTTTATAAGCAAGTCTTGTTTCTGTAGATGAAGGCTGGGAGTCTAAAAATAACTATTAGAGTATCCACCTCATCAGTGAACTCAAATTTGATTACAATTAGATATTTTTAATATTATATATATAGTAAAAAAGTTTAGAACATGTAATTTAATTCTACTTTCCTATATTTTGAACTTAGAGTTATTTGTATCCTGAAAAATATTACCAAGCTGTAGTATACAATGGGTATAGAACTACTGGTGACTGGAAAATTAATAGGAATCAGAAAAAGCACTTGAGCATGCAAATGAAAGAGTACTTCAGTTGAGATAAGGATTGGCAGAAAACACTAACACGCATACACAAGTAAGATAAGGTTAGACAAAATTCCCAAGTTATTTAGCAAATGATGTAGAAATTTATCAGGAGTGAGGCCATCTCACAAAGGAACAGATATAGCATATTCGAGTAGGTTTTATTGGTCCTCAATAAAGAAAATTTATTTGTCAGCAACTCTATAGTATGCTTTAAGATTCAAAAGGTCAATTTCATTTCTTACCATTTTATTCTTCAAGCTTATATTATTATTCAGAAATGATTTGTGCAAACTATTCATATTCCCTGGTTAAAGAAACCTTTGCAAACTTTCATTCTGCTGATTTTTGGCCCAAACCCCACCACAAGGCTACATCTCCATGCTGGAGGGAAAAAAAAACAAAACTGAATCAGGGCTCATGCATATTTGAATGGCATGTCAGCGTTGGCCTAATCAGAATTTCAGAAAGCCCAATTTTCCCCAAAAGAATTAAAAGCAAAAAAAAAAAAAAATGGGGGGGGGAATAGAAGTGACAGGTCTAGTTAAATTAAGTACATAGAATATACCTAATATCATCTCTGAAAAGACAGAATAACTCCAAGAAAAATCATGTATTCTACATATAGTGACTTACCGTTTTCAATGTATCTACATGAATATCATTTCATCTTTACAACTCTACCACCCAAATATAATTTCTTTTAACATTTATATGTATCCATGTATGTTTATATATCCCTGCATTTCCAGTAGTTCTCATGCACTGAAATGTAATCTTTATCACTGGTCAAAACTGAGATCATATTGTGTAGATCATTTTAAATGCCTTGCTTATTTATTAATCGTACAATATAAGCAATGGTAAATATTTAAATTCATAAAAATGCTGCACATGGAAATTTCATTTATTTATGTACCATATTATAGGATCGCCTGATAATGAAATAAATTTTAAACTGATAAAATATTTGCGAGTCTATTCTGCTAAGACATCAAATATAACACAATCTCTCCCTTCAATTAGAACTTATAATAGGACTGACAGTTATCCAGAATAAAAGAAAAGCTGACTACAAGTTCATATTTTATAAGCCTGAACAATCTCAAGGGAAGTAGTGATTGATTCAGAAGAAGCAGGCATTACATTGAGCTGAGTGATCATGGGAGGAGCAGAATTTTCATCCAGAAGACAACCAGAATAAAACAAACAGCAGGGAGTGAACAGGATGGAGAGGTAGAGGGCAGACTGAGAATTCAAGGAGTAATGTTGAGTAAAACCCTCTGGCTATGTGTAGAGACTGTGGGAAAACAAAGTTTTCTTTGAGTTTCTGAGACTTGCCGTGATCTTCCAGCACAGGTGGCCTCATAGATAACAAGTAGGTCACATTTGTGGAGAGCAGTAAATAATATGTAACCTTGATGTATAGTTCCCATGTGGGAAACATACTTCTATAAACTAGGTCTAAACTTCGTCCTGTGCTGGCTTTTACATGTATAAATCATGTAAAAGCAAATAGGGAACCTCCTCCAGGGTCCTATTAAAGGCCCCTCATGGTTACTAACTGGCCACAGGGCCACTGTTGCCACCAGAGCCGCAGGGCTGCTGCTGCTGGACGCTGCTGCTGTCACTACAGCTGTATCTCTTGCTGCGTCATAATAAAAATTTGCTCCTGGCCCCACATACAGGATTTGTGACCCGCTTTCTCATCATCAAGAACCAGCAATCTTGTAGCCACATCCTACACTATGGTAGAAGTTTTAAGAGAAAATACTCAAAAAGTCATTGAATTAAAAAAAAGAGAGAAAATACTGGATGATTAACTGGCCAAATAAATCAGACATCTCCTGTAATTTGTAATTACTGAAGATTTTCATCAGAAGAGTAACATGATGTAACAAATACTGAAATTTAGAAGAATTATCTTTAGTTCTAATTTGCTTTATTTAAAATTCTTTAAGGACTTAGCTTTAAAGAATTTTTAGTTTTAGAATCACTTTTTGTTTATGTAGGCTAATAAATATATTAATCTATTATAAGCGAAATGCTGTGATCAAAAATTTTTTTTTAAAACCAAGGTTTTTCTTTAGCTTGTACTATATACCATATACCTCATACTACTTACCTATCATAAATATCTTTTGAACTTTTAATCTATGGTTTATGCTAGTAAGAAAATACTTCAAAATAAGTTCATGTCAGATTTTTTAAAAAAAATTCTAAAGTGGTATTTGAAATGCAATTCTAGGAGAGTCATGAAGAATAAAAGTTAGAATGAACACTGCTAAATTTTTGTAATGCAGCCATTTCAAGCTGTGTTTCTTAAGGAATATTAAGTAATTAAGTTTATGAGTCTTTAATGAGAGCAAAGCTAAAATAAAGTGCCTTACAGAATTCTCTTGACTGTTATAAAACAGCCATCGAGAGTAAATGAAAGGATGTAACCTTGAAAAGCCATCATCCATACTATTTTGACTTTGTCAGGGGGTCTGAAGCATAGGTTTAATGTTGTTTTAAAATGCAATATAGCTTAGCGTTGGCCCTGGATAAAGTTGTTACTTAGGAAATTTCTTATGAGTACCACTTCTCCATCACCAGGCTGTCTCTTAATTTGCTATTAATTTTCCTTAGGGAAATTCCTAACTGCTTTGATCCTTTCTGTTTTCCTTCTAAGACATCCTGTTCAATATTCCACAGTCTCAAGTTTGCCTAACTTCAATCTCTTTTCAATTTTAATCATACTACATAGTGCAAAGAAGAATACTAGGACAGAATGTCAATTAGCAGGTATTCTAGTCTTGGTACCAGGAAAAAGTAGCTCTGTTATTTCATTACCTGAATATTTCTGGACCTCCTTTCTTTTGGTGTAAAACAAGGGTCCTGACTCATGACTTCTTGGGATCACCCTAGTGTAACTTTTGGTTCTAATATTCTGCTCCATATTACTGAAACAATTCAGTGAAGCACAGATGGCTGATCATCACTTTCATGTGATTCCTTTCCTACATTCCACTGGAATTTTTAAAGTAAACTCATTAAATGAAATTATAAAAACAGCAAGGGCATTGAGCATAGTGGGCACTGAATTATGAATTGCCTTTGTTTTCCTTGTAAAAAAAGCATTATTGAGAGTTATAAGTAAACTGGAATGTTTATGGAGAGAATATTTTTATGCATTTATGGAAGCCACCTATTATAGAAACATACATCTATATATTTCAGCTTAAATGAGAAAACATTATTTTAAAATAATCTTCATTCTAAGGTAATTTTAAGATAAATCATGAGCACATGGTAGTCCTGAGCTATTTTACAGATCTATCAGTGAAACAAGTCTGAGCTCTTAATGAAACTGGTCTATAATGATAATTTATCAGTATTTAGTGAGTAAATAGGTATTTGACAGTTCAAAATTAAAATCCAGGGCCTCCCCTGGTGGTGCAAGCAGTTGAGCGCCGTGCTATGAAGCTGTCCGCAGCCTGTAGCGCCAGTTCCATCCTGGCTGGCCAGCAAGGGTCCCACATGGCGCAGCAGACCTCTCCTGTCTCGCCCGCTGCTCCCCTCAGCAGTGTATTTCATTCATTCTGCCTGTTCTGTTCCCGGCTCTGTCTCTGGTGAATCCTCTCACCCTCCTGCACATCTGGACTGTCCCCCGGTTCTTGTATAAAATAAATAAATAAATCTTTAAAAAAAAATAAAATCCAGATATTAAGATTGTCTAAAAATAGTTTGCCTTTGGATATAGACAACAGTGGAAAAATAGATGTTATTTTGAATCTCTTATATTGAGATCTATTATGACTGAGCTCTTATTGTACAGCTTCATCATATTCTTATAGTCTTTAATTTCAGTTTCAACAAAATCCCCAATCAATAGAGAAACCATATTTAGTATAGAGGTAGGGAGGGGAACTAATTCTTTACTTGAATGCTGCAGGGCAAGATTTGAAACCATTATGATAACTTTGGCAGTAAATTGAGTTTTAAGGATATTGTATGCCCAGGAAAATAGTAGGGAAGCCCATCTGCTTAGTTTGGCAAAATTACTAGTGAAGGTAAGGTAAAAAAATTAAGAGAAGTTACAGTGCTTAAATTAATAAAATTTATATTAACCTGTTTAAAGAAATCAACATTAATTATCAGAAACCAGCCCTTTAAAATATTTAACATTAAATAATTAAAATTTATCAAAAGAAATGTGAAATTTTGTGCTTTAAAGGAAGGAAAACCTCTAGAGAATATTTTTTATTTATAACTGGTAGAGAAGCAAAGTGTTAAAAAGCAATCTGACAATATCTATAAAAATTTAAAAATACATATACCTTTAGACCAGAATCCCTTTCCTAGGAATTGATTTCTACGGAAATAAAAGCACCCATAAGAAAGACATTGGTACAAGATGTTGGGGCATGAAGGAAATGATTCTGTATCCCTCTAGGTTCTTCTGGGATGGCAAATAAGTGAAGCGAATGAAAGCAATGAGGAATTTGGGTCCAAACCTTGTTTTAACTAAAATGAGAGGTGACAGATATCTTCAAGTGAGTAAGTCCTTTTAAAAACTTAGTATTTCATACTATATATATAGCTTTCCAAGTATAAAAAAATTGTGACGCTAAAGTAGTTCCTGTTATTAACAAAACAGTATAATTATTCTGTTATTCAAATGAAAATCTTGCTTGAGTAGATGATGATAATGACAACCATTAAGTTTGCCTGAAAGGACTGTTCATTTCAGGAAAGCTGGATCATTTCAGTGCAGCATGGCGTCCCTTGTGCATAACATCCCTAGCAGTTTGAAGAGACAATGAAAGAAAGACTAAAACTGATAATCATTTATGTAAATATCAAGATTAAGGGTCTTGTGTAAAAAATTTGGCCATGATTGGGGCAAAGAAGTCTGACAGCTTAAATTTCAATAGATTATCAAGGAAATGTGGTCTCTCAGGATAAAAGGTAATTGTTTTTGAGCGAGTCTAAACAAGTGGGGCAGAGGTGGGTCCCACAAATACCTCCTCTATTAGGTACTAGCAACTGTGGGTGGAACAAAAGAACTTCATTTAGAAATCCACTTACCTTTGTCTACGGCCATACCACCCTGAACGCGCCCGATCTCGTCTGATCTCGGAAGCTAAGCAGGGTCGGGCCTGGTTAGTACTTGGATGGGAGAAATCCACTTACCTATAGTGATGAAATGAGTGTCACACAGTCAAATTTTTCCTGTTGGGCAGAAGGCATCACGGTGATCAAGTGTGGAGTAGAAGCAGGAAAGGAGGTGAGGAGATTAGATGAGGTTCGACAGTAAGGGGGAAAAGATTTTGCTTTTATGTTTTACATTTGAAGCAAGAAATTTTTCTTTTAATATCTCAAAAGAAGAACACTGAAATTGGAGGAAGTAAAACAGTGAAAAAAAAAATACAAAGAGTAATTTAATTTCCCAAAACCTTAGCGATGAGTATATTTTAGAATTTTTAATCGCTGGATTTAATGGAATCATTGTGCTCATTGAATAATATTACTGCTGAATCTTTACATTTAGTAACAGATTAAATATTTTAAACATAGTTTCAATATCTGAACTTAAATAATTATCTCATACTTCTTTGATAGGATTTTCTTTGGCAGTTGCTTAACTACCTGTTACATAACTAACAGTGTACTCATATTTGTACAATGAACAGAAAGAATTTTTTTCAAAAAGATATACTAACCTACAAAATTTAAAAAGAAAACCAACAGTAACCTGCAGATTTCAGAATGTAATTTGATAAGTTGGGAACTCAGACCCCAGCTGGAAACAGTCAAAAAGCTTCATATTGGATCAGAGCTCAATCTTTCCCATAACTGCTAGATGTAAGAGATTGAGCCTATTTCTTTTTGCTATTTAGTCCAATTTCATTATACTCACCATAGGTGTTTGAAGAAAGAACAGAAAACCCCAAACTAATGAGTTTTCATAGAGTCATAAATCTGTAGAATGGCCAAAAGCTATTGCTATGTTATTTTCTGTGGTGCCACAGACCACTCTTCCTCTGGGCAGTCACTGCTTGAAGTAATTACAGACATTAATGATGCAAGCTCCTGAATTTAATAGAGCTAGGTTCATGTTGTCATCCATCACTGTGCAAACTTCTCCTATCTTCTCTGTTATCACTCAGTTTACTTAAATATTTTAAGATATTTTTCTGATCCAGTGATAATTTTAACTATGGAAACTACCACACAAAAATGCCACATAATTTCATGCATATGACAGTAGCTATATTAGTATAATTTTTTTGTTAAAATTTGAGAACAATGAATACAATAAGCTCCACACACTATTTCATCTTAGTTTCTTATTTGACAGATGATCTTATAACAATAAATTGTTGCCAACTAATAAAGACCTTACTTTGATAACAATTTTTCTAGTCTTCTTGAAAGGGAACTTTACCTAACTTTGTTACATAACTTCATTCAGGATTTGACTGACAGCGTTTTTTGTTGCTCAAGTATAAGTAAAAAGATTTTTCTCTACTCTTAGGGGACCTATGGAGGAGATACTCTTAGCTTCCTGGCTCCCTCTGCTATGTTTATTCTAAAATGTTCAAAAATGTGGCCTGGCTAAGATCAGTCTTCTCTACTCCTTCATTTTATCTGTACCATCCTTTTTCTTAGCTTTAGGTGGGAGAACTAGGTTTATTTTTCCACTAAGCTGTGTCCTAGGTGGGAACATTTATCTGGAATACATAAATTAGGGAAGACTTGCCTCTCTAGATAGTAATTAATCTAAGAGGCCCAGAAGTTTACAGATGGAAAGGTAGAATGACTACCCAGACTGTCAATTTTGATTTTTTTTTTTTTTTAATAAACATGTCGCATAAGTAGAATTTTTGCACAGCCTTTGTAGTATTCTCCTGGGTATCTTCAATGTATGATCATTCTCCCTAATTCCCGTAGTTAATTCCAAATCAACTGCTGGGAGAGGTAAAAGTAAAACATAAAAGATGTTTCTCTAATTTATTTTCTCATTGTGCCACAAGCTCAATTCTGCTTCAGGTTACTCTGACACTTATTAGTTCAATTCAATTTTTTCACGGACCCCTCCAGCCCCCACCCCTACCTAGTATTTCTAGATATCTTGTTTTCTTCTAGGGTTACTTTAAGGGTGATTTTCTGCAAGGATTGCTCTATTTTATTATTTTGACAAAAACTAAGAGCACTGGGCTTACATTTGGCACACATTGCATAACTTGAGGGCATTATATTAACTTCCTAAGCAAAAATATCACTCCGAGAAACAAAAACAGGTACTCTATACAGATGCTTCAAACCTCTGGTTCTGCAAGCCATAACCTTTTGTGAAAAATCTACTCTTTCCCCCTAAACAAAATGCACATCTCCAGCAAAAAGAAACAGGAAGACAAGAGATGGCATGCACAAAGCAGGGAGGAAGTATTGCAGGGCAGGAAGAGGGACACCCCAGACCCTACAAACCTGCCTGCTCTAAATAGGTTCTGCCATCCGCCACATCAACACAAAACAAATGAGACTTTAGTGGAAAGGAACTTTAATACAATTAGTGAACAATACAGAAAAGACAAAAAATATAGTTTCTAAATCAAGCACCCAAAGTTACCCGTCCCTCTTGGGTAAAAGTCCATCCAAATGGGATTGGCCCAGAGCAAGGCCCCAAAGCCTGCCACAAGTCTAAAGCATCTTTGAGTGGGGACCCACAGAAAAGGATCAGAAACAACCAGACAAGTCTGGAGGGAAAAAAGCAAAATCAAGATCAAGATCAAAGCTGCCAATTGTTAACTTCCCCACGAGCCTCTCACCCACATCTGTGTCAACCAGTTCACGACCAAAAGGCAAGCACAGTTTCTTCATGTGTCTGCTCCATGTGCCTCCTCCAGGTCTCCTGCTGGCTCTCCATCCTGCTTCCTTCTCCTCCTCTGCAGCTTCTTGTCTCCCTGCTCAGCTTCACCCTCCCTTGGGTGGGGCAGGAAACCTGGAAACTCCCCCTTTCCTGGGGACCACCCTGTTACAGAAGCACTGGGATCTTCCTGCCTCGTTAGACAATCGCTTTCTCTATATTGTTTGAGTTTCAGCATAAATAACATCGATATAGCTGGGAAGGACTTCTGAAAAACTAAAACAAAACAAAACAGAGGCAGTACGTTCCCATCCCGAGCAGCTCTGCAATTTTCCCAGGGCTGCATTCTGGACCCAGGATATGTAGGAGGATTGTTCACGCGCGATGTGCGCAAGTCCTGCTGGGTCCTGTGCCAGCGTCTGGCTTGCTCACAGCCCAGGCAGGGGAAAAAGGTCCAGAAAAGACCTTTTCACATGGGAAACTGTTCAGGTACTACCACTTCTCACACTTTGTGGTTCGTGGAGAGAAAAAAATGAGCTGTCATTTCGATAACAATTGCTGGTGCTGGTATAATTTCATACACCCCTAATACCAGGGTGGGAGGAAAATAGAAGTCTGTCAAATGATGCCTGGGTTCGTTCTTACCTCCAGACTCTGAATATTGTGACAATGGTCTGATGTCGCTTTCAGTGGAGTATATTTTTTTTTTATTGAGTCAAACGATAATGTGTTTGGCTTCAAAGAAGCCATAGATTCTTGATTACTGTGTGTTAAAAAGAAAAACACTTTGGATTGTATTTGATGCAGAAGTCTTAATAACAAATATTTGGATTTATTCAGATGTTATTTCCACTGGCGGTGGTATCTTGACCCCCCCTGCCGGCTAAAACAATAGCAACAACCCCAAAACCAAAACGCAATCATCACCTGCATTTGGAACACCATAGAAGACAGAGTCTCATAAGGAAACAATTGCTTTCAAGACTTGTCTGCAGCTTTTGGAATAATTTCCAACATGAATTTGACTAGCATTGCTTCTGTACTGAACCAGCGATATTGATGAAGGACAAGAATAAAAAAGACTAGAAAGGCGGCCTCGCAAGACTAAAACCTGACTCACACAAAGAGGTGGGGGTCGAGGGGAATAATATGACCATTTAACCCAACTGTAGACGTTATGACCCTTAGGCACCAAAGCCTTATCACAAGGCTTGAGACCCAAGCAGGATCAGATGCTACAGGGAGTGGAGCACAGGCCTGAGGGTAAAGATATGGAGATTGGGCCCACCCTGGAATCGCTGGTCCCTTTCTAGTTTTGCCTGTTACCCAACATTGGCAACAAGCAGCCACTCCACAGAGGAGTGACCCCTCCCAATCAGAAAAAGACCACATCAGTGCAGTCTCTGCACAGGCTCAGGGCAGCACTCCCACAGCCCACCTGTGACTGTGCAGGTGCCTCTTTTCACCAACTCTCTCCCTCTGCAGGTCAGCAGCCTCCTGCCTGCCCTTGACCTTTTAAGGCTGCCTGCTGCAACCATGCAGGCCTCTCTTAGCAAAACATATCCCTTTTCCTGATAACCTGCTCTTTAAATATAACTAATGTCTCTGTCTCATTGAGAAACGCACCTGGGGAACTCGCCGCCTGCCGCTGAAACGGGAGCTCTGGGGAAACCTTTCCCAGAGTGAACCCAAGGACCCAGCAATCTACAAAACTACATCATTTTGGCGACCACGAAGAGACTCTTCATGTCATCTGGTGACAACATCAATATGAAAGTCAAGGGTTAACCTCATGACCCTGACTTGAGTACTCACTTCCTCCGTTTGGCAAGATGACCATGTTCTGCTCCAGGTACAACCTCTAGGAAATAAACTGAAATTTCTGATAATCTGCAGAGATAGCTGGAAAATACATAATCAAGAGGAGAAAGGAGCCTTGGGCAATTTCTTCTTAAATCATTTTTCTCTTCTATTCAGAAGAAATGTATCTAGCAGGTAAGGATCCTTGATTTTTTCTTCCCACTTTTTAAGATAAGGGTTGTGCAAATTCATATAACCCCAAAGTATCAATGTTTGAACAGTAATATATGGTAGTAAATAGTTTCAAGATTAGTGAGGGTAAAAATCGGCAGCAGCCTCAAACTGACTGTGAGCCCTATTCTAGTTTATGAGCATCTGGGCTATTTTTTTCTGGCATTCTCAGTGGTCCAAACTAAATAGAGATAGAGACTCAAAAATACAGTGAACTTTTATTGCACATGTTTGCTCTATAGATGCCATGAATATTTAAGCAAACTCAAATTTTAATTGGGTAACAAAAAACTAATGCAAATTTTGAAATGAGAATGGTGTGTGCTTCAAATGATTTTCTATTTAGAAGGAACGCAGACTCCTTTCATCCGGAGTTCCACCCACTAGTAATAATAGTAGCAATAAAAGATTAATCAATTCCTAATGAGAATGTAAATATGAGAAAAAGACTAGGATAGTTAATAGTAATCCTTTTAAAGGACCAAGACTAAGATCAGTTCTTTAATTGATTAATTCTTTTGTCCAAAATCAATTGCATTTTTCATATTCTTTTACATGAGCACCTCTGTTTTTTTTAAAAAAGATATTTAGTATCTTGGTTTACTGCCATTGTCTTGCAGTGCACTCAGTGTCTGACTACATCAATAGTTATAATAAATATTAAAGAAATGAAAGTATGTTTACATTTGCCATTTAGATTTTAAAAATTTATATATGACACTTAGGCTTTAAAATTATTTAGAAAGAGGAAAAACCTTTAAATATATTTAATATATTTTGCCTAGTGATAATAATAATAAAACTTAATTCTTCAAAGCATCACAGAGTGTTAGCAAGTGAATATATAGTCTTGATTGAATTTTATCTTATTTTGAACAAAACAGCTGTTAGAAGTATTATTACAATAATTGGATAAATTTGATTAAGTACTGGCTGTTAGGTAATTCCAGGAACTTATTGTTAATTGTTTTAGTTGTGATAGGAATTTTTATTTTATGTAATAAAATATCTTTGTATTTTAGAAATGCACACTGAATATTTAGGAGTAAAAGTTTATAAGGTATGTAATTTACTTTTAAATTTTTTGCAAAATACATGAATTAAATATAGCAAAGTGTAAACAGTTGTTATATCTAAATTACGAACATATGGACTATTCTCTATTTTTCTGCATGTCTGATTTTTCATAATGCAAACTACAAGGAAAAAATAGGAGTGGGAAGAAGGAAGGAAAGGCAGCATTGTGTAATAGAAAAAGCGAAGAAGTGAATATAGAATTCAGGATAGGAGATGATAGCTTCTACTAGATAGGCAATTATGGAAAAGTCATATAATTGCTTTACATTTAGTTTTCTTATTTTTAAAATGGATATAATCTACAATGAAATACTGCAACATAGCAGTCTTATGGCTGAAATAAAAAGAGACTGAACATATGAAGTGTTAGCAAGCATAGAGAATATGTGGAAACTGGATTCCTGATAAAAATATAAAATTATATAAGCTTTCTGGAAAACTGTTTAGCATCTTCTTTATAATATGGAAGGTGGTGAGACAAGTCCACTCTCAGATTAAAAAATACACAGATGAATGTATATATTGACAAAAATACATGTTTACAAAATGTCCATAGTATTAATAATAGTACAAAACTGAAAAAAAAAAAACAATAGGGGAATAGATAAATATTGCTTATTGATATTCTGAAATGCTATGAAGTAATAAAAAGATAGCCAATGGGTATATACTACAACATGGATGATACAGAATTTATATTGACAGAAAGTAGTCAGGCAACAGCATAATTATACTATGATTTTATCTGTGTGAATTACAAGAACAGGTAAAATTCATCAGTGCTAATAGATGAAGAATAATGGAAAGATTATGGGATTCTGGAAATGTTTGGTATCCTGATCTTGGTGTAGTTACTCAGGTCCATAAATATTTAGACACAATCATGCTATACATTTATGATGAGAGTTGTTCTTGTACTCTATGAACTTTTCTGTATCTCTTCTATCCTTCAATTAAACAGAATAAATATGATAAATATTAATATCCACATCCCAGGAGGGAGGAGCAAATGAGATAATGTGAAAATATTTACTAAATTATAAAACTATTTTTACAGATTTCATGTTATCATTTTGTAAGCAAAACTAAAATTAAGTGGTTTTGGGGGCATTATTTTGACTATGTTTCCCCTAAATCCAATCCATTTTCACCTAAGTCTTGCTATAACTTATTCTTATTTTCACAATTCTTTGGTAGTGGAAAAACTGTATATTTCTATTAATTTGCTAATGTAGCTAAAATGAAAAAAAATGTTAATGTATTATAACAACATACAAATATCAGTGATACCATAATTGCAAGTTTTCAGTTCTAGTCTCCCAGCCAGGAATGGATCCCAGGCTGTAGTGGCAGCACTGAGTCCCAGACACTAGACCACCAGGGGTTGGTGTCTCATGAAGTCTCAGCAGGAACTTCAGGGATGTTCAGGGAAGCAAGTGAAAAGGGGGAGATTTGTTTGGAGAAAGAAGAATTTATTAAGGGGAAAAGGTAGGGAAATAAAGTGGGACTCCCAGGCCAGTGGAACCAGGCTAGGGAGGGGCAAGGAAGCTGAAGTGGAGTCGTGACTCAGGGAATATACACCTTTTTTCCCTAATTACTCTAAAGTTTCCATCAGTCTTTTTGTCATTGGTTAGTTCTTGGTGGCGTCACTCACTCTCCCTAAATGTCTCTGTGCTCAGAATTAAATCTCTGTGTCCCTGCCCTTATCTTTAGCATACTTTTTCTATATCATCCTTGATCTAGAATGTCCTGTTGCTCCTAGTCCTGGGGTGTTTGATTAAGCTCCCTTTGGAATTTGTTGCCCTTATCTCTGAAGTTCCTGCCTGCACTGTCTCTGAAGCTGCCTAATTAACCCCAATTTGCTCTAGTACTCATCAGGTGTGCATTATTTAAAAAGCATTATGTGTATACGCTCTTAAGTTTACCACTAAAATTTCAACTTTTTATCCTTCACCATACAATTGACCTAATCATACAGAAGTTAGTTACATGCCTAAATATATGCCAGCATTTTGCTAGGCACCAGTGATACAAATTATCTCTTCTCTATATCTTCACATTTTAGTCAGTAACTCAATTTTGTTTCAAGTACTGAATTCCATTAGAGCCTATATTTTTAAAATGAAAGAAGAGCACTATTATGTGTCAAAACAAAGCATATTAACAAAATAAAGTTCTCATTTACATGTGAACTAGAGATACATATTTATCTTCATTTTCTTCCTATTGTTTCACAAAGTTGATATTTTAAATTGAGTATATTAGTTAAGTAATTTAAAATTCTGAATTTCCCATCATTTAGAAATATATTAAATGTGGTAATCATTTAAAATACTTTTGAAAAGACTATGCAGTTTTTTTACAATTTTAATTTAAAGTTCCTTAGAGGGCCTTCCCGGTGGCTCAGCGGTTGAGCGCTGGGTTGCGAAGCTGCCAGCGGCCTCTGCAGCGCCGGTTCGATCCCCGGCTGCTCCCCGGCCACCAGAGGAGGGTCCCACATGGCGCGCAGACCTCTCCTGCCGCCCGCTGCTCCCCTCAGCAGTGTACTTCGGTCCTTCTGCCTGCTCTGCTCCCCGCTCTGGCTCTGGTGAATTCTCTCACCCTCCTGTGCTTCTGACTGTACCAGTGCATGTATAAACAAAACAAACAAACAAACAAACAAATAAATAAATAAATAAAAAACATGCCTCAAAAAAAAAAATAAATAAATAAAGTTCCTTAGAAATGTATAAATTGTAGCTTATTTTATAAGATAATTATTTGAAATTCCAAGCTCTATCATGTGTATTCTCCTGTTTAATCTTCCACTTTCTCAGCAGTGATCACTCAGTGAATAAAATATTCTTTTATGCCTTTAAGATTCTCGAACAGATAAGTTAGCTTATTTCCTATGGTTTGAAGCTAGGCTTTTAAATAGGAGATTTTAATGCTCAGACCTTCAGATGTTACTCATCTTGAATACTTGGCTATAAGTACTCAACTCCTGAGAGCCCCTTTTTCAAAGCATTAGGTAGAAATTGGTCTTTGAAGAAGTGTGCAAATGATACACAGTATGCCAAACAGCTTGTGATCGTTTGAAGCAAAGATTTGAAAACAGTGAATCAATGAAACCTCTGTAGATCTTTTTATATTTCAGGCACAGAGAACCCCTATTTTGAAAGGTAATATATCTTTTTAAACACCCAGTTTTCCTGGGTGTTTCATTTCATGAAAAAAAAATTTAAGTTGACGTTATAAACCGATGCCGGAAAGCACTCATCCAACTCATGAAAAATTCAGCATAAGCTTCAAGCAAACGTAACAATATCACTTATTAGGAAAAAATGCATGGTCTGATAGATGACCATGATTATCAGGTAAATTATTCATTTCTCTTCACAAAGCAATCACCCTGTGAAGACTCATTATTTGCAGGTTGTCAGGGAACAGTGAATGAGAAGCTCAGCAGTGCTATGAATGAGTACCATTGCCATGTAAGTTGCAGAGAAATGCTAGAGTACCAAAAAGCCCTGTGCAGTAGTCCATTGGAAGTCAGGGTAAATGTGAGGGCCACAAACTTGCAAAGGAACTGCTACCAAATTGCTTATCAGTATTACAGAGATGAACCATGCTGAGTCATTAGAGCCCAGCAAGGATTTCCTTCCAGAACTGAAAATCTGGCTGCATTAGAGATCTAAAAAAAATTCATGACACATTTTCAAATGCTCAGAGACATAGTTAAAAACCTGAAGGAGCACTGAGTAAGTTGCATGTTAAAATATTTCTGACAGAGACTAAACTTTGAAATGATCATTATTCTATATATCAGATTATTCTATTAATTATTTTGTAATCTGTATTAGAAAATCCCCAATGCAACAAATTAATTAGGTGATGTAACATATAACTTGCTAAGCAATATATTGATTTCAGTGTATGGTGTGTAGAAATTTAAAAATTATAGTTATATCTAGTACAAACAACTGTGCATGAAAAATTCTTTTGCTTTTAAGCCAATCACACACCTTTTTCTTTTTGACCTGTCAGTCAATATTTATGGTCTGTGTTGTCCAGGTGTATTTGAAGGTGTTTTTGAGGACGAGTTGTCATAATTTAGTCACATGCCCTCCCATATATGCAGATAATCATAGAGCATAAAATAAGATAAATGCCACCTATCTTAACCAAAAGTGCACGGTTTTTCCTTATATGTAGAGAGTAATATCTTCATAGCCCATCATCCATGATTCAATTCTATTTTTTCTCAGTGTTTGTGTGTTCTATGAAGTTGTCATATGGCTTTTAGTTAGAGCACTGCAATATGCTTTTGCATTGCAGAGCTCAACTCTTATCACACACTGGAATTATGTTATATTCAGAAATAATTATGTGTCTTTCCTGTTCAATAGGTTCCATTGTGTATATGTAAAAAATAAATTTGGAAATCTAGAATAACTCCTTTTCCAAATACTGTTGTATATGACTGCTCAAATTACACATAAGGTTTAATTGAAAACCACTACAAATTATTCAGTCTAAAGAAAGGTGAAGCTCCCCTCAACCCCCTTGAAATCTATAGATAATCAAATGGGCAAATACATATCTGCCCTAGACTTACAGAATCAAAGATGAAGAAGCCTTGGGCATAAGAGTTGGCCTGGTCTATTGTCCCATCTCAATATTTGATTTTATAGTAAAAAAGGCTAGGTGAAAATCATATTTAGAGTATATAAATATGGTTTCACAAAGAGGAGAATGTATCAAGAGATCTTGGACTGAATTTATCTTTCTGCTTATCTTTTACTTTCTGCCTTAAACTCCCTTTTGAATTCTAAAGTACATAATTAATGGCCTTTTTCTTCTTAATGATTATTTTGTATGTAGTTGGTCTTTAAATCATTTTTAAAACTCTTTTAAGATGACTTTTCTAAAGTGCATTTATTTACACTCTTTGTATTTAAAAGTGTCCACGATGTGTATTAACATTTAAGAATTAAACAGTGA